GTTGTTCTACATAATTAAAGTGTGGAATAATAGGTTGGAAGGTGGTTCTATGTCCAAAAACGGACTTAGGAACCAAACCGACAAGTTCACCGGAAAATAACCTTTTAGAGGTTATGTGTATTGATTAAGGTTTTATGATGTTAAAACCTTGTTAGGAACTTGATTTAGAGTATCTTTGAGCTTCGCCGGAGTTTCGCCGGAGTTGGTCAAAGTTTGCCGGAGTTGGTCAAAGTTAGTCAAAGTTCAACCGGGAAGCGTAATACACGCGTAAGCTCACTTAAGGTGAGGATGACCGACTATATTGATTATAATTTTTGGGTTAATTTCATAAGATTTCCTAAATGAATATACACTGTGATTTGCATGGATTGTTAATAGTTATTAATGCCTAAATGAAATTACTATTGATTATAAGTATAGTTTGCATAATATACAAATTTATTGAATAAATTGTGTATGTTTATATGTTATGAATATGATGGCATGATAGTAGTATCAACCATAAATTTCATTTGTGATAAGTATGCTTTTTAATTCATGAGAAGAAGCCATGAAAGAATAAAAGTGATATTTTGATATTAAGGTCAAACTACATATTGAATGAAGAATTACATTGAAATGAGTAAATAACTAGTATTGAAATATTAGTTGGGATTGTAGTTGAATAATGGATGAATGGATCCTAAGAAATTTAATTGTAAAGAATCGGTGATTATTGAGCTGGGCTCTAGACCGATGTAGATAACGGTGATTATTGAGCTGGGCTCTAGACCGTGATAGTTATCGGTGATTATTGAGCTGGGCTCTAGACCGATGTAGATAACAGTGATTATTGAGCTGGGCTCTAGACCGTAGTAGTTATCGGTGATTATTGAGCTGGGCTCTAGACCGATGTAGATGACGGTGATTATTGAGCTGGGCTCTAGACCGTAGTAGGTAACGGTGATTATTGAGCTGGGCTCTAGACCGTGGTAATAAATGATGAAATGACACTAAACGAACAAAGTTAATCATGAGTTAATAACACCCTAAATTGAGGGTCTTGGAAATTGAAACATTGATTATACTTAGTATAGTTGTCATTGTACTTGTCAAATGCTTCCAAGTACTGACCTCCCCTTCACGGGGGAGGCCACCTCACAGTTTCAGGTATGAGCTGAGCTTGCTACCAGTGCCCGTTGCTCCGGGTGAATTCAAGGAAGGAAGGCGTGGTCCGTGCTTCCTCCGTTCCTGTTTTAAAAACATCTAAATTAATGCTCATGGATATTATATTTTTGAATAATCATTTGAGGGCTTGTATGCCCATGTTTGCCAGAATGTGGCACGAACACTTGTATTAAATGTTTCCGCTGCTTGAATGAATATTTTACATTATGTTTGTTTATGGATGTACTATGTGTGAATGATATTCCAGACGCCTTGTATAGTATGGATGTGTTGGACTGCGATTGACTATTCGTACTGTACGGCGGGGTGTTGACGTGTCCGGTTAGGTCCGGGGCGTGACAGATTGCATATTCATAGGATATGCTGAACGTTCCAAGGCTTATAGGTTTTATGTAATAGAACCTAATGATGCGGTAGCGGTTAACACCGTGATTGAGTCTCGGGATGTGATCTTTGATGAGATGAGATTTTCATCAATTCAAAGACCAAAGGAACTAGTTCCAAGAACTAGTGAGGTGCAAGTTCCAGAATGTTTGGATGGTGCTTTGAATCCCGAAGCACCACAAATAAGGAAAAGCAAACGAGGCCGCATCGTGAAAGACTTTGGTCACGATTTTCGCTTGTATTTAGTGGAAGGTTCAAGGGATGAAACGGGGGTACAATATTCATATTGTTACCAAGTTGAGGATGATCCAAAGACCTTTAAAGAGGCTATGGAATCTCGAGATTTTGCCTTTTGGAAGGAGGCAATTGATGATGAAATGTCATCAATTATGGAGAACAACACTTAGGTGTTGTCGGATTTGCCACCGGGTTCTAAACCCTTAGGTTGCAAATGGATCTTCAAAAAGAAGATGAAAGTGGATGGAACTGTTGACAGGTTCAAGGCTCGGTTGATCATTCAAGGTTTTAGACAAAAACCCGGAATTGACTATTTTGATACGTATGCGCCGGTTGCTCGAATTACAACCATTAGGTTGTTAATTGCTTTGGCGGCTATACACAATCTGATTATACATCAGATGGATGTCCAGACGGCATTTTTAAATGGTGATCTTGATGAGGAAGTTTACATGAAACAACCGGAAGGTTTTGTTATGCCGGGAAATGAGCATAAAGTTTGTAAACTTGTTAAATTATTGTATGGGCTGAAACAAGCACCCAAACAATGGCATCAAAAGTTTGATGAAGTTATTTTGTCCAATGGTTTTAGTTTAAACCAATCGGGCAAGTGTGTCTATAGCCGATTTGATGCCTTAGGGGCGGGTGTGATCATATGTCTCTATGTTGATGACATGCTGATTTTTGGAACTGACCAAAATCAGGTTGATGAAACCAAAAGGTTGTTATCATCAAGGTTTTCCATGAAGGACATGGGGGAGGCGGATGTGATCCTTGGTATAAGGATTAAATGGGTAAACAAAGGGATTGCTTTGACACAAGCTCACTATGTTGAGAATATTCTCAAAAGGTTTAATTATAGTGATTGTTCACCCGTTGGTACTCCCATGGATCCTAGTGTGAAGTTGATGCCTAATAAAGGAAAGGCGGTATCACAACTTGAGTACTCTCAAGCCATTGGTAGTCTGATGTATGCCATGACAAGCACTCGGCCGGATATTGCTTATGCCGTGGGTAGGTTGAGCCGGTTTACTAGTAATCCTAGTACTCAACATTGGCAAGCAATGAAGAGAGTGTTCAAGTATTTAAAGGGAACCATGGATTATGTTTTGTGTTACTTTGAGTATGCTTCGATTTTAGAGGGATTTTCGGATGCAAGTTGGATATCCAATGTAGAGGATCATTCTTCTACAAGTGGTTGGGTATTCTTGCTTGGGGGAGGTGCCATTTCTTGGGCATCCAAGAAACAAACTTGTATCACAAGTTCAACGATGGAAACTGTGTTTGTTGCGTTAGCTGCCGCCGGTAAAGAGCGGAGTGGTTAAGAAATTTAATTTTTGAGATTCCATTGTGGGGGAAGCCGATTGCACCTATTTCTATCCATTGTGATAGTGATGTCACTTTGGCTAAGGCGTATAGTCATGTTTATAATGGCAAGTCTAGACACTTAGGTGTTAGACATAGTATGATTAGAGAACTAATCATGAATGGTGTAATTTCGGTGGAATTTGTAAGATCGCAACATAACTTGGCGGACCACTTGACCAAAAGTTTGGCCCGGGACTTAGTGCACAAGTCTGTTATAGGGATGGGTTTACAGTCCATTTAATCCTTAATGGTGAGACACCCAATTCCCCTCTAATACAACGTTAGAGGCTGAATTCAATGCGGAAAGCTCATACTTAATGGATTGGAACACACAATGAAAATCATCTCAAGGTGTGTGTTTGGACCTGTAGTAGGGAGGCTGAATTTTTTTCTTAATAATTCCTTTGATAAAGTGTAAGCAGGTACACGAGTAAAGGAATTACCTATATGATCGTGAAGTGTAGCCGCACTTCAAAAAACTTGGGACTTGGCTTTTATACGATCATGAATGGGATTAGGACACACAACTTTATAATTGTGTCAAGTTTGTATTCTAGTTGAGTATAGAAACTTGTATGTATTTTATCTTGAGGTATTCAAATGAGTTGAAGGGTTCAATCCGTAGGACACCCCGATTCTCGAATATTTTGAATGTGTAAAATTCTAAGATGGAAATTCAATCGTATCGACATTTCCATTTATGTGCAAGTTTTGGTTTGTAAACATTGTTATGTCATTTCATTGGTTACACTAAAATGGGGGAGGATTGTTGGTGATTTTAGTGTCACTGGCCGTTTTGTGTAATTGGAAATGACATGAGTGCCAATGGGAATTAGAACTATGATCTAATACAAGTTAGTAGGTGTGGGTGCACACTTGTATATAAGAACTAGTTTGATTCCAAAGTGTCTACGTTAGTGGAACTCGAGGTAGAACTCGAGGTATAACTTTCAGTAGACCAGCTCTGTGGTTCTAGACCGAGTTCTACAACGATTAGGCAATTTCCAGCAGTTTCCCAAAAAACTGCTGCGGTTATTCTTGAACGTGTTGCAACTGCCTAGGACGGTGAATATGGATATATATCACCATATTTCGTACAGAGGAGGAAGAGGAATGATATCCAACATATCTTCATCACTTTGGCACTCAAATTAAAGATAACAATCCATATACTCGACTAGTTTGGCTCTAGTTCTTGTGCCTAAGTTCTAGAGTGTCATTAAGGATTATCCTAGATTGAATTTCTTGTAACCCAGGCATAGGGGAGAAATATCAATTCGGAAAGTGAACTTACACGATCCTTAAGATATCCAAGTACTCGATTATCACCCCCTACGTGATATACCCCAACATTTGCAAATATAAGAGTTGGTTCTCTTTCTAAAATTACCCCGGACAATTTCAATCCATTTAAAACCAATATTTTAATATAGAGAAAGTGGAAACTGGAAAGTTGTTTTTCATACAAAATAGAGACATAGATTTTGAAGCTCATATTAAGAATGAAAAACTTAGACAATATACATAATTATAGGGCAAATAATAATTGTTCAACGACATAAACACTTACCCAAACTCATCTACCTTCTCCGACTGAAGACCTTCCACTCAAGCTTCCAATTTTGATCACAAATTTGCATGGCAAGGAGTATATATCTGACTTTGGTGCCTCGCGTAAGCAGGATCCCAACATCTTCACCGTCAGAATGATCGGCAATAACATATCCAAGTGATTATCCATTGTCCGGAACCCTAATCGCAATACTCACCGCATGGGTAGCTCAGTTGGTCGAGTGGTGGGAGATTTGGAATAATGACCAATGTTCAAATCCCACAACGACCGGGTGGATGTCACAGAACCTGAAATAAGGCTGGGCCTCTGATGTGTACGGGTGTATGGGCATTGGGCCTACTGCCACTTTGCTGACTGAATCATCGTGACTTAGCTCCTCTCATGTGCTCTGTCGGATTGGGACGTGGGGGCCCTTGAGGTTGGGGATTCAACCTTTTTTGGAACAACATACCTTTAAATTAGTGAAAGGTATGAAGTAGTCACCTAAAATAAAACCATTTTCTAACTATACTCAATTACTATAATCAGCACACAATCATGGAATGGAAGACAGCCACTATTTATAAACGGCCCCATCTCAGTTGTAGCAAGAATAAAAAAATAAACTTCCGGGCCACCGGCCAGTGATGTGCCCGCCACGACCGTCGACCGGGTCCCTTTAATTCTTCTCCTCTCCTTCTACTTTGTTCGCTTGTTAATGTTTTTTAATCAAATTAAGGCATGCCCACTTAATATCCATTTTCAATCAAATTAATTCTTCCATTTATGTGTTTTTCTGTCTAAACTTAAATAGCACCATCAGACTTTTTAGTTCTGCTAAAAGGCAACACACCCGTTACCAAATTTAGTGAAATTTGATTGTTTTCAAGAACTGAAAGTCGCTTTCTTTCCCTGTGAAGTCTTTCAATTTTTAGCGGCGGCGGCGCTGGTAGATTGTTCTTGGCGGTCTCTTTCAATTTATGCCTTTTTAATTTTTGTTTGTACAGATGCCAATTTATATCGCGCTTTCAGAAATGGCTGAAATTTTATGTTTTGGGTTGCAGGGGATGGGAGATGTGGACGCCGGCGATCGACTCCCGAGTAGAAGAAAGAGTCTAATGCGGCGGTGGTTCCGGCTGAAAGGGGTCAGCTGTTGCGGCGCCTCTTGGGGTCTCGCGCCGGCCGCTGACAGCCTCATAGTCGACGACGGAAGCGGCGGCGGTGAGGAAGTCCGGCGAGCGGAAATTGCGGAAATGGGTATGCAAAATCCGCCGGAGAACGAGTCAGAGCCGGAGTGCACGGCGGGATCAGGGACGAATCTTGCTGCTGCGCTGGAGGCTGAGCGGCAGTACAGGGCGGCCGTCGACGGCGGGCAAGTGGGGCCCAGCAACAGCGCGGCGGATGACGGTGGAGATGCAATTAAACGGCCGGCCACCAGAATGTCGTTGATGAGGTTGTTGGAGGAAACGGACGGCGGCGATGCAGGGGAGATGCAGATGGGGGGCGATTCGGTGTGCTGCGTGTGCATGGGAAGGAAGAAGGGCGCGGCGTTCATACCGTGTGGACACACTTTTTGCAGGGTGTGTTCGACTGAGTTGCGGTTGAACCGAGGTTGCTGTCCTCTCTGCAACACATTGATTCTTGAGATTCTTCACATTTACTAAGAAAAAAGTATCAAAGACTGTCAGATTGATGCTGGAGATTTGTGTTCTTGTTTGGGACGTTTTCGTTGGGCAAGTTGTATGAGTGGTGTTGATATGGAAATTAATGGGATTGACCTCTACCCTAATTATTGAGGACAAGTGTGATAATATGGACAGAATGCGTTGAATTTATTGAAATTGAAGTATTTGTGTTTAAAGATAGAGGTGGCTTAATATGTTTTTTTAGAAGTTTTTTGTTTTTTTAAACTGAAACTCCGTACTACCTCCATCCCTTTTAAATGTCCCGGAAGAGGGTGACACGAGTTTTAAGAAAAGTGGGTTTGTGTGGTTGATATTAATTGATAAAGTAAGAATAAAGTAGGAATAAAGTAAGAATGATTTTGTGCCACACAAACTTTACCAAATAAGGTATGAGACATTTAAACAGGGACATCTCAATATGGTAAAACGAGACGTTTAAAAGGGGACAGAGGGAGTATATCATTAGTTTTAGAATCATTACATCAATCAAATGAAAACATATCATAAATTGCCCTAACTAGGAGTAAAAACGTTTTGAAATTCCAAAATAGAAGTATCATGTTTTTTATTCCCTAAATAGGAGTAATCTGCCAAGTTTGGAAAAAAATGTCATGTTTAATATCTTGTAATGTCAAATTTGGCAGAAATTTACCCCTATTCAGGGAACAAAAAAACATGATACTCCAATTTTGGAATTTTAAAATGTTTTTACTCCTATTTAGGGAATTCTCTCAAAGCATATCTGACACCAACTACCTCCAAAAACTACGGTTGTAAACACTATGACTAGACTCTGAGACAATTATTCATGAAAGAGCAACACGAATCGCTAACCATGAAGTGAGCTTGACTTTGTTACCACCGGTCCTATAGATACATGTACTTCCAACGACATAAAAGTAGGCTAAATTTCCAAACAAACTGGAAAACCTAACAACATAGACCATAACAGAAATCCAAATAACAAATTAAAATAATGATAATTAATAGGATAACTTTCACGAACGCTAGCACCTCGTTCAGCCTTTGGCGGTGGTTCAAGAGGAGGCCGTACCATTGGTACCACTCTAATTGATCTTCCAATGTCGATCGAAATCTGACCTGCACGAAACCCGTCCAACTCTCCTCGTCCCGCACTCGTAGCAAAGCCGCCACTTGTTGTTAACCTCTTCGCTGCCAAGCCCTGTGATGCATTCATCTTTCCCTGCAATTGCGCCTAAAAATGTGGACGAATGAAACACGCCCTCTTCCGACAAAACGTCTTAGCCGCAAGAGCACTGCTTCCTTTCTTCGGTCCAAACCAACTAAAATCAACTATCCGCACGGACAGATTGATAGGCTGCAAAGAAAAACCCTGCCTTTAAGGGAGCAAACAGCCAAATATACATAAAATTTATGACACCAATTTGAAAAGCAACATGTATTTATGATAAATGGAATATCTTAAATTTAAGCAACCTTTGTCGTAGGCTACTCTATATCATGCGTAGGCAGTGCCTAGCTATCTTTCTTAAAAAGAAGTGGCTTCATATGTTAAATTATCAAAATGTAATTTAAAATAAATATTTGTATTAATTAAATAAAGAAGTTATAGAATTGGCTATTGGGTCCAGGCCCAAATAGCCTTGGCTGCCCAACTAGCACGCGGGCCCAAATGTTGCTCACCCAACTCAGTAGCTCGACCGGGATGCCCGCACGAGATCCGCCGGTCAGGATAATGTAGTCACTTGGCGCCTTTCTCAGATGTCATGGCTAAATTAGGAGCGAAAGCTCTATCATCGTCGTCCTCCAGATTCCAACCTTGCTGAGAAGCTATGTCACCATCATTGTCCCATTGCGGGCTGATAAAAAATTCGATCACATTGCCGAGACTTGACCGCCGCCTGCTTGTCCATCACAGTCGGGCTGATGGCTCCATCGGCCACCAACCCAACACTTCTATTTTTAAGGTAATTTATATATAATGTCCTAAAATGTGAATAGTTGATTTGTTTATTTTCAGTGCATTATATCATTGGGTAGATAATATATACTCCCTCCGTCCCAAAATGGTGATCTTGTATTTTCTATTTGGGATGTCACAAAATAATGGTCTTGTTTCCTTTTTTTGTAAGAAAATTAAAGTAGGTTACTATTTATATCCCTACTTTTTATGAACCCTAAAAGTAAAAGAATGAACATTGCAATAAAGTAAGGTCATATGAGTCATTCTACTCCACTTTTTTAATATTTGAACCCAAAAAGTATAGGACCATCAATTTGAGACGAATGGAGTACTATATTAATAACGTAGGACAAAGGTCAAATAAGTCATTATAGAATTGTAATATTAAAAAAAGCATCACATAAACATGTGTACTTTAAAAAAAATCACATATGCCAAATTAATGGAATGGGACTAATTTCAGCCGGTAATTATGATTTATTTTCATTTTGTTTTTTTTCTTATTACGGTTTCCTACTCTATCTTCTTTGACAATTCGTCCATCTCCCAGACTCCCACCCTCTTCGATAGTTCGATTCTTATTATTTCTTATACTCTTAGAGCCCGTTTGGTGAACTCGTTTTCGGCTTATCAGGCTTATCAGCCAGCTTTTTCACCAAACACGTAATTTTTTATTTCGCGCGTTGAATTGTGTAATAAGCAGAAAAAGTAAGGTTGGAGTTACTTTTCTGGTTGTATTGGCTGAAATTACTGTAGAGGATCATTTTTGCTTTTTATTCATATAATTTTTTATTTTATTTATTAATAAAAAATATTTTAAATATAATTTTTTCATGAACCAGCAGAATCAGCCAATACAGCCACTTCAGTCAGAACTTTATAAATTTCAGCAGAATCAGCCAATACATCCAATTTTAGTGTTACCAAACGGGCTCTTAGTTTTCCATTTCTTTCTATTATTTTTAAATCTTGGGGGAAGATGAGCACACTAAAGAGACTGTTCAGGTAGTTGTCACTCCGGCCACCTTCTGCGGAGGAGCGTCCCACAACGAAAACTAATAAAGTTTTGAATGGAAATCATGTATTATTCTCGTTAACATAGTTTCAGAGTATAAATATCCAGTATTACATTTGAAAGACTTTAAAGCTAATTAAACTACAGAGTACAAATACAGTATACAGACAGTACAAAAATACTACGAGTATTCCAATATAAGTAAAACTCCGCAAACCACAGGTATAGATATACATAGAGTGATAAAAAGTAAAACTAATCATCTGTAGGCAGTGTAAACTCGCAATTGGCTGTAGAAGAGTCGCCCATATTCAAGAGAATGATCTTCTTTGACCAGGGTCAAAAGTATGGGATGGCTAAAACTATTACAAAATGCCAAAATATAAATTTTTATTAAAGTTTACAAAGTATAAAAATGGTGAGAAGTGTATAATACATTTCAATTAAAAAATTCGACACCAGGATGTTTTTCTCTATAGTACAAGCAATTAATTAATTAAACTTTAAAGCCATAAAGTAAATAATCAATAAAATTGCAAAAGAATTTACTGTAAAGCAATTAATCAATTCAATTTCAAGTAAATAAGTAATTAAATTAATAAGCAATTAAACTAATTAAAAAGGATTTCAATTTTAAAATTAATTATCAAAGTAGGCAAGTGCTTCGGACTTCAATATCGGAGAAACAAGCTAGGGGCCTAGGACTGCCGGCAGCGGCTCTGCAAGACTGTAACGGACTCTGAGACGAGAGGCGGCGAGCCGGAGAGTTGGAGACTGAGGAAGAAGGAGGGACTGCGGAGTGCGATGTGCGGAAGTTGCGATTTGGGCGGACTGCTTACTGCTACAGTGCTACTCTACTCTGCCACTAAGGGCCTGTTTGGATGGAGTGTTTGGAAGTGTTAGTAATAGAAGTGTTAGTAAGTGTTAGTAAGGGCTCGGAAGGGAAGGGAAGTGTAAGTGTTAGACATAATTTTACCTTGTTTGGGAGAGTCAAATGAATGAAGTGTTAATAATGGAAGTGTTAATAATTTTACCTTGAGGCAAAAGAAACGAGTAAAGAGAAGAGATGAAAAAACAAACCATCAGACCCGTGGGAAAGACATTCGAAGTAAAATGTCGAAGCATTTTCTGTTTTTCGGGTAAATGAGAAGGGTAATAATTGTTCAACACCTCAAAACACTCCAAATCGGGGTGTTAAAAAAATGGACAATTGAGGTGTTGGGAAGGTTATTATTAACACTTGCTAACCATTACTAACACTTCTTAACACCTCTGGATTTTTCTCCCAAACAAGTGTTAGCATCAACACTTACTAACACTTCCATTACTAACACTCCTCAACACTCAACCAAACAAGAAGCTCAAACTGTCAAACATCCAACATGTATATTAGGTTGGGGTCCAAACAGCTTCGTTTTGTTTTGTCCTGTCCACTTAACCAAAAGACGTCGTTTAACGGGCTGAAATAATTAAAAAAACACGCTGCCCATCGTTGAAAGATTCTCGTTGGATCTCGCATCGGCGGCCTCCTCAAGGAAGAAGATGAATCTCACGGGGGACGGAAGTCTATACACCTAATACTAGTAGTAAAAAATCTCCGGTAAAGGGGTGGTGCCGGCCAGTGGAAGAGCTAGGGGTGGGGCATAAGGGGGCAAGCGCCCCGCTTCGGCCTATTTTTTTTACTAGTACTACTTATAATATATTTCATGCCCTCGCTTCTTGGATACATGACTAATATGAGATGAGATGAAATGAAGCATTTTCTACCTTTCAAAGTATTAGTGTCTAAGAAGATGGTTGAGCTTACAATTCACAAAAAATCTTCATTTGATCTAAGAAGATGGTCTATTAGTGTCTAAGAAGTTGACTCTAGTGTTATTAGTTGCAACCGCCACAGTTGAAAGAACCTTCTCAACAATGAATATTATAATGACAGATCTTCGTAATAATACGGAAGATGATTATCATACGGATTGCTTATTATGTTACATCGAAAGAGACATTTTTCAAGCAATTGATAATGAAACTATTATTTAGCATTTTCAAAATATGAAAACTCGTAGGATTAATGAACTATAATTTTGTGCTAATTTATTACTATATTGTTGTTCTTATTATATTTTGAACACACACTTTAAAATTTTTAGTCTTCGATACGCCCCCCTTGGACAAACCTCTGGCTCCGCCACTGGTGCCGACAGCGGCTCGCTCCCCTCTGATTCGGCCCCTGCCTTTGACGATGAGAACCAAGACCCGATGTGAGTTTTCTCGCATTTAAAATATAGTAGAATAGTGGTGTAAGTACAAGTATCGTCTCTACAGGGTCGGAAAAGGGGAATTCTGATTAATTAAATTTAACGATAAAAAGAAATAAAAAAATGCAATTATGCGAGATTTAGAATTTTTG